CACCAAAGAGTTAATAGCATGTAATTTGCAAGCACGGGGGACAGAAATGAAAGAAAACAGTAAAAGCGCCCTCTATAAACACCATGAAGCAAGTGGCGACAGCACGCGTGGCGTCGTGCGTCGTGTCGTGCGTCGCGTCGTGCTTCAGGCGACGTAATAGGCGACGCGATGCACGACAAGACGTTCGATGCGACGCACGACGGTGCGACGCGACGGGCGACGGAAGGGGCGACGTTTAGGCGGGAAAAATGCAACATGGAAAGGACCAGAGACAGCACGACGCGACGGACGACGGCACAACGCGACGCACGACGCGACGCGTCGTGTGTGTACAAACATAGTGGCAAGAAGGTGACGGTGCGACCTGACGGCACGACGCAAGGGAGCCGTCGTGCCGTTGCGTCGTGTAGTTGCCTCGTCTGGAGGGAGGCTGAAGAGAGAGAAATGTTTGTCGTAAATAGTACACTATATGTATGTGTACTTGTACATGTTTAATAGAAATAACGTGTATGCTGTAATCTACATGCACACAATAGGATAGGCTATTATTTGTGGGAGCGTTGCAGTACTGTACCACTGCTCAAACATATTGAGTGATCGTTAACAGGATTAGGTTTCACTTTTACGACTTCAACGCATGTGGACTTGCCTGTTAGTAGGCTACACAACTAAACAGTAATACTATGGTAATTCGCAGCTGCAGTACTGTCACACCGTCTTTAATTTCTGGACCAGAGGAAATCGCTCGTGTAAATTTATAAAATACAGAAATTCAAGGTGTGCATTGCAATTTCAGTCCGCTCTTTCCGCCTGAGGCCTCAAGTCACAATACAGTAGATGTCGAACTATTATAAACCATAGAACAAAACAGCCAAAAGTAATTTATGGGCCAAAGATTAAATTTGTACATGCCAAAAATTCTCTTTTGTTTAGACTAACCTTAAATTTTGGCTTGTTTGTGTTTGATTATTTAATGCCCACAAAGACATTTATTTCAAACCATGACTAAAATATATTTGTGAGGAGCTGATTGATAAAATTAATTAGTGAAGTAATTATGTAAATTGGACATTTTGGGCGCCGTGTAAACACAGAATGCATTATTCAAAATTTTTGGCGTGTAGTGAAGTCAGTAGTTATCAAATCAGATGTGAACAAATATACACACACACATACATACATAGGCCTACAGATACACCGTTTAGACCATGAAAAATTATGGAATTATTGCAGTATCAAAGCAGGACGCGTTGTTTCCCGTGAATCTTTGCTAAGATTAAGACTGTATGCGCTAAACCATCCATCTAAAAATAGTGACATTTTACATATATTAAAAACAAATATGTCATAAAATGTCCGTCAAGTACAAATGGAATCGGATGTCAAATCATAACAGCCGCCGGAACTTTAAAATACGTTTTGCTCAAAGTGTTCATTATCTGTTTGTTTGCAAATAATGCAGAAACAGCTGCCGCTTTTGTTCATATTTTTGTTCACGATTGCTTAGCAAGGCTTTTCCAGATACCTGAACAGAAATACCTCAAATGCTCTTTCTTTTGCGACATTTATAACAATTAGCAGTGATGTGGGCAAGGGTAATGTAATGGGTTAGGGTAATTTTTACTGGGTCAAAACGTGACCCGCATCAAAATACCAGATTTCTTTGGCGTATAATGTGCACAAGTTGATGTTAACAGGATTAAGAGAGACATGCTTTAGGTCATTATAAAGCTGTTTTGAAAATTGAATATTCCACGTGTCAGGTGTCACGCCGGCAAAGTTAAATTCTTTGCAGGGCTGTATCTGTAGAACCAATCGGTTCCCGTATAGTCCCATTAGGTTGAAACTTGGGACAAAGAGAAACCACGACGTGTTATTTATAACAATTTGAGTGACGTAATGATTACGTCACAACCTGATTTTGAATTTTTAATTTTTCCGCATTTTAACATTCTTTTCGACGTCACGTTTTTCCTAAATAAAGCAAGGTTTTGCCAAATTCTATTGCATGACCTTGGGTAGGGGCAGTAGAAGTTGATTTAGTTAAACAATAGTGACAGCATGATAACGTCATCAAAAAAGACCGATTTTGCATTCGTTTACTGAGAAAGATTTTATCGGCATGAAGTGCATAGGATAGGCAAAACCTTTACACACAGATAGTCCGATAAGAAATTTGTTCAGTCACGTCATATCGAAATACCAGTTTGCCCATTTTATGCAGTTTTGTACATTTTCCAACCATAAGACTTTGGAACTTTTGCGTTGATCTGACTGACCTCAGACTTGGCGCAAAGTTAGACCTCCATGTAGAGATAATTCAAGAACAAGTTCGTCATTATAACGTCGTCAGATGTCAGATGACAACACTATAAAGGTGCATTTTTCAAAGACCTCTAACTTTAGAAATACAGGTCTGCTTAAGTTCGAATTTGACATGTACCTAGAAGAACCTGGTCTGTTAAGAAGTGAACACTGAAGTCACATGATGACAGCATCACATGTCAGCTGACGTCATGTAAAGGTACATTTTTGTATGTGTACCTAAAACACTAATTCACATGTAATGTATGTTTTATACGTGACATTATATTAACATAAAGGACATCACAAGTCGCAGGGCCACTCTAATTAACAACTGCCGAAACTGCCTGTGTTTGTCTACAGACACATTTCTCGGTTTCGATTGTTATTGTTTTGTCCAGAGAGGGCCGATGTATAGGGAAATATGAACGTTACCTGCCATGCTATAGAACGCAGAATCGAATGTGGTCCATAAGGAGTGGATAATCAGTATACAGCTACAGTAGTGAAAATTATACTATATGACAATCACCGCGGGGAAGTGTATTTGCTTGTCACAAGAACACTTCGCAGGAGAAGAAAAAATGAAGCTGATTGTTTTTAGCCCTTTGCAAGCTAAAATTGGTACTGAACCAAAAAAAGTATCCAGTGGGAAGTAGTTCTCGCTATGATCAACTTACCGTCATCTATGACTTGTAACTAGTGATAGACGGTATCAAAAACAATGCAGTTCATGTTACCGGTAGAATTAAAGAGGACGTAACTGAAACTGTTAAAGAGCAACTCTCAGGAAAACATGTTTTCTCTGATTTTATCTGTTCGAATGAATATGGAAGCATCCAAATCGAATGCAGTGTCATTTGTCTTACTAGTGCAGACGTCTTAACCACTCGACCACCAAGCTTGCCAGGGTCGGCTAGCCGGTCCAAGTCAGGTGAAGCAGCGGGTACCGCGAACTATTTTCAAGATGTATTTTTGCGTTGGGGAAATGTTAATTTTATATAACGGGTTAAGACGTCTGCACTAGTAAGCAGGAGGTCGTGGGTTCGAGTCCCACCTGAGTAAAGCTTGTGACTTTTTTCGCAAGCTCTGGGACAAGCACTGAGCATACAATGTTTATTAAACATACGTTGGGTAAGGGCAAAACCCGTTATATAAATTAACTTTCTAAAGGTGAAAACCTCACTGTCCCAGAGAGTGGGTTCCTATAAATTCACTTCAAGAGAGTGAAATCACTCGTAGAGGAGTCAAAATTTCTCTAAAAGAATGAAAATCACTCACAAAGGACAGTCAACTCATTTTTCGACTCGTCCTCTGTATATAGGCCCCTTAGCAGGGCAGAAATTTCACTCTTGTAGAATGGTGTTCACTCTTTTTAGAGTGACTTTAACTCTTTTTATCTTTTGAGCGGATTTAGAAGAGACTCACTCTTCTGCAGAGTGAGTTTTTGCAATATTAAAATAGTACCATTAAGTTTTTCCACATGTATAAACTACTGTAATTATAGTATGATGTCCCAAACAATGAGGATTTTGGGGGGTAATTTCCTGTGACACATCTATGGACAGCAAAAACTTGTGAATTATATATTCCATAAGTTGATTCTTTATGATTGTATAATTTCAGTGATCATGATTGTGTAAGTTATTTCATTTTGAAAGTGTAAAAACAGCCCAGGGAACGGACGAATTATAATGGTTGTTTATGAATGGAATGCAACTATTATGAACTTCACTTGAAACCGTGTATATTCAGGTGTGTGTTGATTGAGAGTTATTAAGAACTAAGTTGGATTTATGCAACTGAAACGAAACTGATTTAGAAAGTACTTTTATACCATACAATCGAAAGCAAATTTAAGAGGGGATGGTGTAATTATTCTTATGAATAAATGTGTAAATACCCTTTGAATTTAATTAAAGTCTTTTAAATTAGGTTTCATTCTGTCTGAAAAGAGGTATGACAGCCGGAGATTGCACTTTTACGGGTTCGGAATTTCTAGGGCTGTGACAGTTCTTGATAAGCAGCTTCAGAAAGGCAACAGGTACGGTACACAACTTACCCAAACAAAATATTGCAACTGCCTGCCACGAAGGCCCCAGCGAGAAAAGCAAAACGGGCTCCAATGAGTGGCAGCTACAGAAAAAGAAACGCACAAAATCTTTAAACCGCTTGAAGAGACTCGCTTTCTGTTCATCATTTTCTGCACTGCAAGTTGTTCCTTTATTTTTCCACTATGATTTGATGTTGACGTGATGAACGAGAAATAGCTAGGAGAGGGTGGTAAGTTCAGTAACTTAGACCCAATAGTACAGTCAATTCGGATAAAGAATTGAGCTTACAAGTTTGCCCCAGATTGGTGAACTTATTCCAGCTGCAACGGAGAAAGAGCTGAACACCAGCCCAATAACAGTCTGCGACATTCCCCTCGCTTTGGCCTGAAGTAAATACAAAAACAAATCCATTGAAGAACATAATTATAATACGGAGGATTCACAATAGTGCACCTCCAAGGGGTTTGCAGCGCGTTGGCCGATCACAACGCGCGAAATCTGTCGACCCTTTCGGAACGCACATTGGATCGACAAATTTCGCGCACTGTGAGTGGCAAACGCGTTGCAAACTATTGGAGGCGCACCTTGAATAGGGTGTGGGTATGGTGCACTTTCCAATGGGGCCAGCGGGGTTGGCCCGCGGTCAACTGAGCACTAAAGCAAAGCATACGTGTGTCACTAGTACAGAGGTGTACATGTTTCACATAATACCTGTGATATATGCTTTATGAACGATGTGCGAAAATGGTAGGTACCAAAGTGCTTTAATGATAAAAATATGAACTTGCATCCCGCTACTAGTAAGCTCCATTGGCATTGGTACATACAAGACTTTGAAACGTCTAGCAAGTGCATCTTTTCCCAAAATCAGCCTAAGTGGGCAAATTTTATGAACGCTAATTTTTCAGGCATTTTTGCTATAATACCTGTCAATTATTATCTTTTGTCAAGCAATGTTTTAAACAGATTACTAAATGTTAAATGGCTATCAACGAGAAGGGAAAGTATTAAAAGTCTAATTTAAATGTAAAACAAAATGTTTCTTTGAAATAAATTGAAACAGCATTTAGACGACGGATGAACTTATATTTCAACCTTTGATTTCCTTAACATGTAATAAACATTATGAAAGCTGTCCCGATACTCCGAAAATTGTGGAATTACACTGGTGTTAAATCATCACTTTCGATATCAGTATTCACAGGACATCAAACCAGGGTGATTAGTAATCAACGTGACTCATTTTAAGTTGGACATGAGAAATGGGTGTGGACTAAACATTGCCAAATGTCAAATAGAACTGAAAAACGTGCATCAGTTAAATCACAGAAGTAAATGGTAAATTCAAATGCAGTTTAATTTGCTGAACATTCGTGGGGGCCCCCACTATATTGCTTGAATATATAGCCACCTGGAAACTACTCACCTCATTCGGGAAAAACACTGCGATCACTGAGAAAGTCAGCCATGCTGTGAACGTCCCCAACGCCGCACAGACAAAGGTGGCCTTTTTGTGGAAAGTTGTCTCTTCTTTCTCACTGCTTTCATCGTTTGGGGCAGCAGATTCACTTGGTAACACTGCATCTTCCGAATTGTTTTCAGTCATCCTGATCGTCATCGGTTGATGTTACGAGCATACTAACTCTGCCAGTTGCCTGCTGGTCAGAAGTACACCAATTTACATCTTTGTCTTAAACTACTCACAGCGATTAGATCGGATCATGGAGGTTTCCCCCTCCTCCATGCACTGATCTTCCATTGCCGGTTTCCAGACAGGCAGAGTAATGTACGGCTCGGACAAGTGTTCCATACTATCGTACTCCGTATGATACAAAGTTGCGCCAAAACAAATAAAATATGTCGAAGGTGGATTTGTGCGGGGGAGATGGCATTGATGTTGGATTTTTACCCTGCTCGACGTTTATTTTAACCCTGTATACTGCCCCCAAAGTTGTTCGCAGTACCCGCTGCTACATCTGATTCGAACCAGCCAGCCGACACCGGTAAGCTCGGTGGTAGAGAGTGGTTAAGACGTCTACGCTAGTAAGCAGGAGGTCGTGGGTTCGAGTCCCACCCGAGTGCCCTTTTTTCACAAGCTTTCTGGGAAACACACTGAGTATACAGTGTTAAAATACACGTCGGGCAGGGTAAAAAAATCTAAAATTATACAAAATATGGTCTACTCAATTGCATTTTGGTTTCCGTCAGGAGGAGCTAATATCAAGGGACTCAATCACCACCCACGACATCACAGCAGTACTCACAAACGTAAATGCAGAAAGCCTCAACAATAAGCCACTTCGTACTTACCGCATGTATGCTCCACTGGAAACTAGGGCAAGGGTCATTTGTACATAAACAGAATCGCTTCACCGAGCGTCCTGAGCGAGCGCCCTTCTTTAATTTGATATTCGTTTGTGTAGTGAATGTTAAGCGCGCAATTCAGCTAGAGCTTCAATTTTGATCAATTCTTTTCAGGCTTCGGTTACATTTTTATCATTTTTCAATTGATGAAATTTGTCTGTGGACTGTGGCCCAATCGAAAGAGTTTTTAAAGACCAATATGTTCCACATGCAGTACTTGGATTAGTCAACACTTAATCAACCTTGTATACAATTACCGGATAGTTTAAACGATCATTGTATCAACAGCAATCCATTCGCGACACACACAAGCTATATGTACATTATGTACAAATGACCCTTGCAAAAGTTCATTCGCTCATGCGCAGTTCGTAATTACGAAGGCGTAAATTGTGTTACACCAGAATTGATTTTTGGCTTTTCCACATTGCATGCATTGCAGAAAAGCCTTTTTTGTCAAGATTTCTCAGCAGTTTTTAGCAACAGCTGAAACAGCTCTCAGCTTTCAAACCGAGTTTCTTCAATACATTGGCCAAATTCCATAACTGACGCTTTATCCAATCGGTTACACCCTTTGGTTTAGGTTCGGGTGTCGGTTCTGGCGTTGGACTTACACTAGGATTTCCGGCAGCTCTAACGCTAGCTACGATGCTACTAACAATGGTACTTACGGCTAGTGAAAAAGCCGTTAAAATACTTACGATTGTAACGCCTTGCTCGCGAAATATCGTTCGAATCTTATCACCTAGGGTGTCATCTGACTGTAAAGCGTAATTAATTAAATCTTTAATTGGCAATATTTGTCTTTTGAGTTGACCGTTTAATATACCTCTTTGAGCTTGTAGTCCTTTGAGTTGGTCTTGTAATTCACGCAAACGAGCTGAATCTTTAGAGGTGTCAAGACGACTTATTTCTTCTTGAATTCCAATAATTTTAGCTTGATTTAATCGTCTTGCCCCTCGTAATGTTTGCAATTGTTTATCTAATCCTCGAAGCTCTCTATCATTTAAACCCTCGGTTTGCGCTATTTCATTCTTCGTAAGCTCGGTGACGACGTCGCTAACTTCACCCGATGCTTCCTCGATGTCTTCAGTTTAAATGGCGTTTAATTTTGATCGTGCTTGTTCAGTTTTTTTCTGGTAATCCCAGAACCCGAGTTCCTCGCGAATAAATTTTGATCCACTTCGAAATCCAGCTTTTCTAGCGCGTTTTGCTATTGTGTCTAGCGATGCAAATTTTCTCGGGTTACGTTCGTCTGTAAGTAATATCTTACCGGATCCTATTACATTTTTGTAACATAGACCTTCTTTTGAGTCTATTACATTTGTCTGGCTTTTAGTGATGTATTCGAAATTCCGTCCGCCGTTGTACCTTCTATAAAGGACGTTTCTTCTTGATCTGGAAATAAGTTATCGTCGACGAAATCTTGGTCGTTTATTTTTTTATCTTGATCTTCCAAGAGATGTATTTCCTCTGGATCAAATCCTTCGGCCATTTTACTTTAACTTAGCCAACCCTGGGTAGCTAACGCCCCTCTAGACATCGCGGTCAATTTTAACGCGTCTTCGATAGATAATTTATTTAGATCGGGCGGTTTGATTTTAAACAGCTTGCTCGATAGCATAGCGTAACCCATGGAGATCGCTGAAACTACAGCGCCGTGGTAAACCGTGTTGGCAATTCCGTTTACGTCGATTGATTTAGCGTTACTCTTTAATATAACACATTTTTAAATTTTTTCCATATCTAAAATCTCGGGCCGCTCGCTCCGCTCGCTACGCTCGCTTTTTGGTTGAACAATTGGTTGGGTCGTTTCAACTTTCATAGGCGTTGATTTATTTTTTCCAAATTAAATATACCGCGACCGCACCAATCGCTGAGCCACCCAGGATTAAATTTTTGTTCTCTACAGCAGTTTTATAAATTTTATTTTCCAAGCTCGGTGTTTCACTGACTTCGCTTAATCTCATCTTGGCGAGCTACTGCTACATCTTGTTATTATGCTCGGCTAATTTCTTACCTTGTTCCTCACGTCTGAGGTTTTTGGCTTTAGTTACCGTCTGAATTTGAGATTTTACCAGGCTGTTCGCTGGGGTTGGTGTTTGACTCACTTCGTTCGCTTCTTCCGTGGTTGACATCCTCTTTTATAATAACAGAACTCTTGTTGAGCTCCAGATGCTTAGTCGTAATTAACGCAGCTGCCAATGGTGATAAATAGACTCCGTATTTACAGCAAATCTCGCTTAGTAGGTGACCCATAGTTTGACTAATGATCGGGTCGTCGTTTAAATCTTTTGTAAGCGCTTCTTCAGAATTCAAATTAATATGAAACCTGAAAAATTCGACTGGGGTGGCTATTCCGAGTAAACGCGCGTATAAGCTTACAATTGCGTGACCTAACGTATTAACGATTTCTTTACCGAATCTAACTTCGTACAGATTGAATAGCTTTTCTTGATCTTTGGGGCTAAGCGACTCGATATCCTTTACTGAATATTCTTTACCTAAATATTTTTTAGATTCGCCAGAGGCAGCTATCGAACAAAGGCGATCTTTTACGTTGAGCTTTGATTCTTCGGTTGATTCGCTTTTTGAATCGGCGAGAATTGATTTGATGTCTTCCATTTTATTATATACGTTTTAAAATTGTTGAATGTTTGCTTTAGACGTAAGTGCTCAAACGTGTAATAAGTTAAATTGACCGCCTTAACTAATTGAATTAGTGTTTGAACGTATTCTAACATTGCTGTTATTTGTTACAAGTAAAATAAAAAAAGCTTGAGCACGACTGTATTAGCCATACTCAAGCAAAAAATAAGTAACTAATAAATAATTTAAATTATTTTTTCAATTGATGCGAATAGGTTATGATTAGCTTATCGGCGTTTTTTATTATTATGGTTGTGGCAACAGAGGATACAATTTAATTCAATATGTCCAATTGTATTATTCAATCGTTCAATAGTACAGAAATCGTCCTTATTTTCTAAAAATTGCATCTTAACTTTACAATTCAGATAAAAGCAATATCGATAATCTTCAATTAACCATCGACAAGAATCGGTATCGATAAAACGGTCGGAATCAAAGCGATTATACTTTTTATCTGATTTGCGACAATTACAAATCCACCTTCTGATCGTTACTTCAATGGGATTGTTACATGTTTTACAAAATTCTCTTTGTTTTTTATGTTTGCACATTGACGACCCGTTGCACTTGACGCATTGCCGTTTAAATTTGCCGTGTATACAAAAAGAGGATCCACCGCATTCAGAGCACATGCCTTTTCGTCTCCCGTGCGGACATCTATTCATCTCTTGATAAAATTTTATTTTTTTTGAGACAATCGTCGCAAGTAAAATTTATCTTTCCTTTTTTTCGAATTTTAAAATTGGACAAATCTCTCTCGTTGACACTTAATGCATTTCTTGGTCTCGGACATCTTTATTTTTACCGTTAACCATTTTATTTTTAATATTTTCTCACAATAATTAATATGAAACGGGCGGTTCAGTATTTAAAACCAGCTTGCTAAACTTTACGTCACGCAGGTGCTTTTTAATTTCCTCTCGTTTCTAGTCTGGGATTACATCGTTTTCGTCGAGACAATGATCAAACGAATTACGATCTTTACAATGAAATAAAGCGGTCCACGCTGTATTTTCTCTAAAATCTTTAAGAACCGGATTATATTTTTGTGTGAGTAACCAGCATGAATGATTGAAGTGCCGTCCACTGAAGGCCATCCTACTTAACGCCCACGTGTTACTCGCCTTAGATTTTTTGCGATACTTAATAAACTGGTCAGCTGCGCAGTCGTCGATTATAAACAGAGTGTAAATCCCGCCGAACGCTTTTTGATAAAGTTCAATTGCTTCGTTTAACTCCAGTCTTTCTCGATCCAAGTCAAATAAACATTGTCGTCTGTGTCCGCGTAAATCCACATCCGTTCTAAATACGTTTTATTTTTAAATAGCGTGGGGCATATGATCACGATAGCTTCAAACGCAAACCTATGTTCAGTCTCTAATAAATTCAATATCCAATTTGTTTTTCCCGCTACCCATTTTACCCACGATCAAAGAGCAGTGCGGTGATTTAAACATCTGGTTCATTTAATTAATACACTAGACTCTTGAAATTACCGTCTTCAACCGTTAGTTGGGCGTCCATCACCAAAAATACGTACATCGTTAAAGGTCCGCGGTTTCGGCCTCGCGCTCCATCTGAATTGTTATATCCCCTCCGCCGCCGAATGGTCTACCCGACCCGTGAGCCGAGTTATCGTCGG